AGACCGTCTCAAGTAATATCTTAAGACGCTAATGCAGCCTTCTGATTGATTCATGACTTCTTAAGACCGTACTTAAGACGATCTTGAATATAAGATCTGACTATGAATACTGGTCAAAGAGTTCACTACACTGTCGCAGAGTTAGTCCGGATCTACAATAGGGTTTTAAGCCTTAAACCGTAAGAAATGGGCCAATCACAGTCGCTTATTCTTCTCGGATTCGACTGTAATTGGTCGAACGACAGAGGAATGCTCGACTGTAGTTGGTTGGTTCTTACATTCTGATCCGGTTTTAACCCTCGGTGGAAACTAGGGGTTTGTTTGCGTCGCGTGCTCCAACATGCTCCTACCATAGCTCCTATTCACTTCAACGACTATGTTGGAATAAGTAGGAACTATGGTAGGAGCATGTTGGAGCATGCGATGCGAACAAACCTTAAGCCACTGCTTTACTTTAGTTATAGCATATTCGATACTGAAGGCCATGGTACATAGAAAAACTTAAAACGTAAGACTTATACAGTAATGCTGGATTCACACTGTATCCGATTTTCGTCGTACGACGCTCTTCAACCAATCAGAAAACGGAATTCCGATTATATGAAGCAAAATCCATCGGAATCCTGTTTTCTGATTGGTTGCAGAGCGTCGTACGACGCAAATCGGATCCAGTGTGAATCCAGCATATCGAATGGAAGAGAATTGTACTATTGGAATTATGGGAACACATGGGACGCCATTTTTATCTTACACTAGAACGTTTTTTATTCCTTACCTACACGCTTACACTCGTCAGTTCTGGTTTGCACTAGTTCGGTTCAGTTCAGTTCTAGTGCAGTCCCAGTGTAAATGCATAAGAATATGTACCAATCGAAGTTCTCCGTTTCTTTCCCTTCCATATAATAGAGAACTCTGGTTGGTTCAATTTCTTATGCCTCATGTGTTATGCGTTATGCAAGAGTCTGTGCTCCCCGCTTAACGAAATCAACATGTTGGATTCGCTACTGCTTACGTATGGTCTGACGGTCTCTATTGTGATTGGTCGATTCGCTTAAGCGTGGTCTACAATAGAAGTCGTAGCAGTCGTAGAGCCTTAAGTCGTAGAAAATTAACCAATCACAATAGAATATGAGAAGAATAATCGACTATGATTGGTCAATTTTCTACGACTTAAGACCCTGCGACTGCTACGACTTCTATTGTAGATCCCGCATTACTGCTTAAGTCTTAAGCTGGAAACACAATAGACACAGGCAACAGGGAATAACGAGCCGTCCAATAAGAGCTCTGGGATATAATATCGAACTTATATCCCAAAGCTCTGATTGGACGGCTCGTTATTCCCTGTTGCCTGTGCCTATTGCCTGTGCCTATTGCCTGTGTCTATTGTGTTTCCAGCTTTACGCCTTAAGTTTTTTTATGTGCCATGGCCTTGACTCGACCCGACTCCGAGTCAATGGTCTGTTCTGTTTAGCTGCAAAAGAAGAGCTAATTATACACGAAATGCAGTTAAAAAGAACAGACTGTTGTTTCGGAGTCGGGTCGAGTCAGTGACTACATTTAAGCGGGGAGCACAGACTCTTGCATAACGCATAACACATGAGGCATAAGAAATTGAACCAACCAGAGTTCTCTATTACATGGAAGGGAAAGAAA